GGAATGGAATATAGGATTTTTTAGGCCTTTTTTCGTGATCTCCCAATATCCCCGCATGATTCATTTCACCAATACACGCACGGAGACCCATCCTTTATTGTTTAAATTAAGTTTTACGCCAGACATAGCAAGAACAGCGAATGCGGTCAAGACAACGCAGATAACATAGCAGAGGCCATGAGAGCGAGCGCGCGCTTCTTCTTTCAAGGTATTCTGCGTGATGATGTCTCACTAGCAACATTAGCAGTTCGTTTGAAGGACAGCGCACGTTCTGAAGTCTGCAGTAGTTGGTCCTTGTAACGTTGCGAACTGAATGACTGTCCTACTAAAGGCCCGTTTACACTTGCGATTTTTGCAGCGCGATTGTCGCGCGAGAAACGTCACTTTGTTCTCTCGCACTTCAATTCGTACGTGTAAACAGTCCTGCGATTGTCAAGGCGATCGAAAATCGCCGCGAGTTGCAGCTAAATTTCAAGCATGTTCGAAACCCAGGCGATTGTAATCGTGCCTTTACCAAACCCAGAAAATACTGGCCAACACTCCCTACCAACAGCTCAACCTCCCCTATTGACAGGACAATGACAAGAGATGACAACACAAAAAGGTGCAAAAGAACGAAGACCCTTTAGTTGCAAGCTCAGTCATAGAACCCTTTGGTGCTCGAGTTAGAGGGTTTAWATGGAAGGCACCCTCTTCTGATGAAATGTCTCACACATACATTTCCACCACACTTGTGTGAATTCTCGCACGCTTATTGGCTGATTAGAGTACTTCAACGCGAGGAGAGGACCTGCGTACTGAGGTGACCCCATCACGTCTCTCTCTCGCGCGCGCGCTCTGTTCAAGAGAAGAATTTTAAAATTGTCGCTAATTTTCAAACTAAAAATGYGTAATATCAAGTTGCCACACTTTTGGGTCGTCACTCGAGTTTTGAACATTTTATGACGTCAAGAGTTTGTCAATAAGAGGACATACAACTGGAAACCGTGCGCGCAATTGTTAAATATCTTCCGCATAACTTGGCTTGTTGCAGACATGAAGAGCTTATATGAAGAATGTCCCTTGTATATAGATGTATATTTTATCATGACTTTCGATCTATAACCTCTTATTTCCTTGTAATTTTTAGTAATTGCCATTTATTGCTTATTCTTTTTAATCAATATAAATCAGTGTATATATTAAACTCCATTAAATCTAGAATTATTTTCATTGTGGTTGTTTAACATTATATCTTCAAGGTCATTAGAATATAAAAGTTTTAAAATCAAATTCCTAACAAAAACAAGCAGTTTTTTTATTCTTTTATATGTGAAACAAAAGAAGCTTGTTGTCACTTTGATATGGAAGAGTCTCTAATATGCTTTTTCATCTATAAAAGTTCTTAAATCAAATTCCTAAGAAAAACTAACATTTTTTTATTCTTTTAGYAAGTGACACAAAACAAACTCGTAGTCACTTAAATATAAAAGAGTCTCTAMGCTGCTTTCTCATCTAAATTAGTAAAAATGACTTCCATATGCTAGCCTAAGGGAATTTTATAAAAAAAGTATAACTCCATAGAAGTTTGGGACCACTTACAATTATTCATTTACATTAAAACAAGAAGGGCAGGCTTCTTCTTTTCTTCTCTTCCCTCGAGGGTAAAAGAAGAGACTACCCCTAGGGTAATGTAAATGTTTAAATTTTGTTTCAGTTTTAATTCGTGAGTATAAGTTTATAAATGCCTACATTCTACGTCTTTTTCACGGTCAGATTACCTTGACCAGACTGAAATTTCAGAAAATCCCCGATATGAATCGTATTTCTTGATTCACTTCCCAGAAAGACGGAGATTTTCAGTCTTTTCGTTAGTCATGACGATTTTGCTTACATTTCTGTATTTTGTTCACCATTTTCTTCCTTGGTTTCGGATTGTTGTTGTTCAGCTTCAGCAGGTTGTTGGTCTGCCGTTTCTTTARGTTCTTCTTTTGCTTCCTGTTGTTCGTCTTCCTTCTTTTCGTCTTTTGGCGCTTCGCTGTCTTCTTCCTTTGATTCTTGCTTTGGTTCTTCTTTCACCTCTTCTTTCGCCTCTTCTTTTACTTCTTCTTTCGCTTCTTCCTTCTTTTCTTCTTTAATCTCCTCCTTTGCTTCCTCTTTAGTCTCTTCTTTCGTGTCTTCTTTAGCTTCGTTTGTTTCTGCTTTGGGTTCTTCCTTCATTTCTTGTTTGGTCTCTTCCTTCGCTTCTTCTTTGACCTCTTGTGCTTGTTCTTTGGCCTCTTCCTTCTTTTCTTCTTTGGTCTCTTCTGTTTGGTCTTTGACCTCTTCCTTCTTTTCTTCTTTGGTCTCTTCTGTTTGGTCTTTGACCTCTTCTTTCTTTTCTTCTTTGCTTTCCTCTTTGGCCTCTTCCTGCGGCTTGTCTTCTTTCTGTTCTTCTTTCGTCTCTGCGGGTGTCGCTTCATTGCTTTCTTTCTGCTCCCCTTCTGCAGCAGTTTCTGCCTGCTTTTCCGTTRTTTCTTCCGCGTCTCCGTTGGCTTTTTCTTCTTCTGCTGCTTTATCTTTATCAATTTTAGGTTTCTGGGTGAATAAGCGGGGTAAAACATAAATGCAGCTTTTAATGAGCAATTTTCCATATCAAAAAAGAAGAAGAAGAACACGGAAAATTACAGTTTGAGCTTAATAGATGCTTAGTTTCACATTCTTRTTATAAAATTATAGGCAATCTTACCTCTGTGTGAAATTTGCTGAAAGATTTTTTTCTCTTTTTCTTAACTGGCTCAGCATCAGGATCGGGTTCCTTCAGGGGAGACAACAGGATTTTGCCAATGTTTGCACGATCGTGCATCTTTTGGTGGGCTTGGGCAACCTTACATCAACAAGTAAACATTAATTCACTAATGTTAACTGCTGATTTGTTTCTTTCTTTAAGTCACTAGTCTTAGCGCATGTCAAGTGTACCTCTTCAAGAGCAAACACTGAGTCAATGTGAGGCTTGAGGGCTCCATCTTCATACATCTTCATCAAAACATCCATTGCTTCACGCAATAACTCAGGTTTAATATCTTCAACWGCCAATCCACATACTGTTTTGTTATCGCTTATCAATTTTAATGGATTGAAAGTAAGCCCTGCAAACCACTGCAAAAAAGTCAGTTGAAAGCATCAGTATTACAATACGGGAAACACCAACTTGAAGCATGAATAACACAAAGATACTGAATTACTAGTGGCGCGTCAGGAGGGGGACGGGGGCAAGGGGCAGGCTTCGGGAAGGGGGGGGGGGGGGGCGAGGGAGGCGAGGGGAGTGGTCCAAACTCAAAGAAAAGAATAAGTGCTATATAGATTTAGGGTTGCGGAAAATTAGATTTCTTTTAGAAAAACAATGCTTTTTTATGTCTTTCAGAATCAGCCCATTCACATTTATTCTCCTTCTATTTCTAAATTTTTTTCCCACTATACAAAGGGAGTTGTGTGGCTTCTAATAGAAACTGGTACTTACTGATTTTAATCCTGCAAAGAGGCCTTTTGATTCAGAAATATTGCTTGCATAACCTGAAATAACAGCACAGCATTGAATTTAATATCATACAAGTTGACAAAAATGAAGAGTGCATAAAATCTGTGGAAATCTGGTGATGTCTGTTTTGCACCAAGTACTTGAGTAAACATATACTTATACCATGAAACAAAATCTGCAAAGTAATACTTATTAGTCAGAATTTGTTAACTAATAGTGTACGTCAGTGAATAAGAACAGGTCCATACACAATAGGTTAACACGATGGAAAATCGTTAACCGGAGTTTTATATGAGAGAGATTAATGTCCTGATTAGCTAAGCTTGCTTCTCTCGTGTTTTTCAAACTCCCACCGTTTATATCAGAGGACAGAGACATGCGCGCCGTTTTATATTTCTTAAATAAAACTGTGAGCTGCAAGTGAGCAGTTTAAAAAACCCATAAAGGTCAGACGCAAATATTTTATATTTTCATCAAATTTCAACATAAGGTAAAGCATATTTTGCAAAAAAAAAACTTTCAAGATAAAATTATATCATTTATCAAGTTATATGCAAATCAGCTGACAAATCTCTTAAATCTCATATAAAGATGCGCTCAGGGCAAATGATTTTCTATTGTGTTTACATTATGAATTATTRATGAATTTGATAATTTTATATAAGTAACATACCATAAATTACTAGGGCTCCAAGTGGGCYAAGAAGGTCATAGCATTTTTTGGTGTCTGCTCCACCGAGTGGGTCCAACACTAAGTCTACAGAGTCTGTAATCCTGTGGAATGGAATGGAGAAACATCATTCAATCACTTACTTTGATAATAACTATTTGCCTATTCATTTTCTCACTTTTTCACAGCTTCAACRTAGTCTTCTGTTCTGTAATCAATTGCRTGGTCAACACCGTTTTTCTGAATGATGTCATGCTGGAATGGTAAACATACAAAATGTGGCACCAACAGAAATTGATATAAGAAAGCAGCTACAGCTGAACAAATGATTGATGATATGATAAGTGTATAAGGTTCCGGGGAGAAAGGGGGGGAAGGGGATTGAATGATTGACTGGAAAACAGTAAAAATGGTTAGCAAACCTTTGATGCTGAAGCAGTTCCAAAGACTGTCACACCTTCTACTGTCTTACAGAGTTGGGTGGCTGCTATTCCCTGAAAACAGAAACAAGCTGTTTCAGATTGAGAGGTAAACACTGCAAAATCTAGTCTTTAGACTCTTTTTTGAACCCCTTTCTTATGTATAACTCCACTATCAAAAATACTATAATAAACATCATCATCATAAATATAATAATAATAATCTAAGATATTATATAGCGCTTATATAGCTTTTTCTAAGTGCAATCAAAAGGTAAAAATTAAAATAAAAAGTTGAAGTAGAGTTACAGATCATAAGTTTGTTTAAATAAGGTTTAAGAGCATCTTTAAAGTTATCCAGTGAAGAAATGTCTCTGACTGAAGATGGGAGTTAATTCCATAAAAAAGGACCAGCAACACAAAGAACGAAAACCATAACTTAAACATAAGTGTCTTTATAACTGTGTAACACTGAGCAGTCGTTCAATACCCTAATATKCTAATTAGTATCGGCCATTACGATTGTCGTTAATGGATACCTACCACACCACCAGCAGCACAGTGTACCAAAACACTCTTTCTTCTGTTCAGATTTCCACAGTAGAAYAACAAAAAGTATGCAGTCARRTAGTTAACTGGGAATGCAGCACCATCCTCAAAGCTCATTGACTCTGGCATTGCAAAGCAAACTTCAGCAGGAACAGAWACAAATTCTGAAAATGCACCTGTCCAAGAAAGACAACATACTCTGGATCCAACCTGATGAGATAAAAACATTATGTGGTATTTAATAAACAAGCAGGAGCGTTTTTTTGGGGTGGATAAAGATTCAACCGAACAACTTGCGAGATTATTGAATGGCTTAAAAAACTTGAATAAGTGTGAAAAAAGTTTCTATCATTGCATGCTAACGTAGCCTCCCTGCGATGCAAAGGCATGACAGTTACATTTCAAGATGGCACAGGGAACAGTGAAGGAAACTATTGCATAGATAAACATTTTCATACCTCAAAACCTGTTACATTTTCACCAACTTCTTCAACAACACCAGAGCACTCCATTCCAACTACTGACGATGGGGCCTTGGGGAATTTAGGAAGCATTCCTTGTCGCTGCATCAGGTCAGCAAAGCTTTGTCCACTATGAATAAAAGTGAAATATTTCAGAATTAACATTTGAAACCGAGGCATTGCTTATGGGTTACTGGATCTAAATGAGACCACTGAGATCATTGAAATAATGGTCAACTGTTACACAAGTACAGTGGGGTTGCCCTTAATCTTGCAGAATGAAGTAAAGGCCCATTTACACTTGGGATTTTTGCAGAGCGATTCTCGTGTCATTCATCACAATCATTGTGATAATAGTCATGGTTGAAAATTGCAGGCTGCAACAATATTCGCAGGGCTGTTTAGACGTAGTATTTTTGTCCTTTCAAAACTTGACATGACCTTCCAAAAATGACTTTGGAAGGACATATTGTCCTGCATATGTTTGGCTGTTATTTCGAGCCCTGTTATCTGTGGCCAAGG